TTACAAATTTTTCTAAAAGCCTTTTTAAGTAACACTGTAATTAAGTGGAAAACCTCACACTTGAGAATTCTATTTATTTGTTTTGCAACTCTTTATAAAGTGGTCATTCAAAATCAACGAACTGAACAGTGCCTGGGAGGATCAGGCAATTGCTGCCCCATAACCAGGCTGGCCACAGCCTCCTGCCGGTGGGGGAGATGCAGGCATGGAATGTGCTGGGCTCGGTGACTGCCCAACCATCAGGACCTCAGCACACAGAGGGGAACCACAGCCGGAGCTGCTGCAGCCCGGAAGCTGGCTCCCACCCTCTGTGACTCAACTGAGACAGGCCTCCGCCTGACCGCGACAGAGGGCAGCAGCTGGTTTAGGGCACTGCTGTAAGAAGAAGGGAGCTCTGAGCAGGGACGCCTCTCCTGGGGGCTTCGTACGTATTCAGGAGAACACCTGGGTAGTGGGCTCAAGGTGAGGGGAATGACTGAACCGCAAAGGCGGCTTTCCCGGGTCAGCAGTGTAGGATGAAACACAAAGGAGTATTATTATCATTATTATTTTAAACCTCCATCATGGAGTGGATCCAGCACCTTTACGCTGAACTACGTGCTAGCACACCTCCTTATTCGGAGCCGCTGCCTTCGAGGCACTGAACTTCCAGGCCCTGCCTCAGCCTCCGGGCGGGGATTGCAAGTGTGCGTCAGCACATCCGTGTCTGCTGTGCTCACGTGGCCGATAGAATTCAACTGCAGCTCATTCCTGGGTCACCGAAACCCCGTGTTTGAGGCGGGGCCGCTGGAGCCACAGGGATTAGCTCACTGCCTGCCTGTGGGCATCAGTGTGCCCTCCCCGGAGGCCATGGGTGCGGGCGGACGCGAGGTGTGGCACTCACCCCGCTCACCGGCTCCTGTCCCTCTGGCCTTTATCTGTGCTTCCCCTCCACCCAGGCTCCCGGGTCCTGGGCTGCCAGGTCAGGCCCACGCTGGCTCCGCCCGAGGAACCTGGGGCCTCGTGAGGTGCCAGCTCACTGGCCCTGGCTCAGGCTCCCTGAGGCCGCTTGTCCAGAACTGAGGCTCAGGGCCTGCAGTTTCCTAACGCAAAGGCACGTTGGAGCTCAGTGACATCGCAGAGAAATTTCCCTCCCTCTTGTGGACCCGGGTGCCACCTGATGCGCTGGGTGTCTCAGATCCCTGCCAGCCCAGTGCAGGGCAGCGGGCACCTGAGCTGGCTCCAGGAGCCTCTTACATGAGAGACCCACGGTGACTGGGACACACATCACCCGCTCATAATACGCCTAAAACCTGCAACCCAGGCTGTTCCCACTCCTCCCTGTACAAGGGCCGTAGCGTGTCTCCAGGTTCCGTGGTCTCCCGGTTTCTCCTCAGATGTACCCTGCTGGTCAGCAAACAGCAGTAACTGCTCCCAGGGGTGCTGTGCCTTCCCTCTTGGGCGTTTCTCCAATGCAGTTTCAACGCTCTAACCCAGAAGAGAGTACAGACACTGCCTGGGCCACTAGGGGAGCCCTAGAAGTTCTGAGCAGGGGGCCCTGGAAGAACCAGGCAGAACCCAGAGGAGAGCTGAAACTATTTATAGCAGCGCTGATCGCCTCCCAACCACGCCCTTGGAACACACTGCTCCCATCTCGCTTCTCATGATCTGGAGCAGCTCTGGAAGTCCACTTTCTTGTGTGCATTTAAGAGAGGTGTGATCAGCAGGGAACACTGCTAAGGAGTGACAGCCTCCAGACAGGCGGCCCACAAAAGCGTGGCGCTGTGTCCTAACCCACCTGGTCATAGGATCTGCCACCACGTGACTCCTGGCGATTCCCCAAAGCCAAGCTGACTATGAAAGGTAAATATTTCACATCTCTGCAGGACATCCAGGCAGCCAGGACAGCATGACAAAAGAGCCTCAGGAAAGAGGGGTCCAGAGCCAGGGTGGATGTGGCTAGAACCACGGGACTCCAAGGGAAGGACATCTGCTCCGTGGAGTCACAGCATGGTGTGCCTTTCTTTGTCAAGGAGCATGAGAATGGACCAGGAAGTTCTGGTCCAAAAATAATGAGGGTGGGTTGGAAATATCGACGCTTTGCTATTTAATGTGCAGAGATTGCTCCAAAAGTGGGGCGTATTTAAAGAGACCTGAAGAAGATGTCAAATATGAAATTTTCTTATTCTTAAACTTTAAAAATATTACTTTTAAATAAATGTCATATATATGTGTATCTGAATTATAACTAATGACTTTGACTTAAGCTTTAAATGAACCTTGAGGTGATGAATAATCAATGCTTTTGCTACAGCATGGGGCGCTGTGGATGCCATCGCTGACCCTCGCCTCATGGGTGTGTGCATGCGTGTGCTTGTGTGTGTGTGTGTGTGCATACGCATGTGTGTGCACACGGATCCCTTCCTGTGCAGTTCTGCAGTGTGAGCACAGGAACAGGCTAGCAGTTGTGAGCTGACGAGAGGCTTCGGGCCAAAACTCATTGGTCTTGCAGGACGTGGGGAGATGGACAGGGAAAGGAGGGATTTGAAACCCAGAATGGGGAGGGGAACCCATCCGTGCATTCATAAAATTGTGTATGTGTACATTATATATTAGAAAAAGTTTAAAATTTATCTTATTATGAGATAGGCTTCTGAAAACGAAAGGCCCTGACAATTGTGCACGGTCTCTGCACGGTTCTTGGGTTCCCATGGTGACCACCACTCTTCCTCGTCCTCTGAGAGAAAGGCTTTTAGGCAGAGGATGCGATGTACCACGCTTCGCTTCCTCTGTGAGCAACTGCTGCTCGTACTTCTTCCCAGACGAGAGCCCTCGCCTAGGTCCCGCCAGCGGAGGTGCTTTACTGTGGCTGTGGAGTGACAAGGGCTCGCCCTCAGCGGTTCAGATGCTGCAGCTAGGAGCCAGGCTCTCACACACGGCGTGGAGAATGACACGGAATATTTGAATCTCGGCTATCAGTCTAGACACAGCCCACATATGGCCGCAGGACTCTCCTAGCCACGGGGCGTGGCTCTGGGTAGCTGCATTTGATTTCTGTTAAAATCTTTGCTCTCCCCACGGAGGAAACCCTCAGCCTCGGCCCACAGACTTGCCAAGCACTACGGCTGCCCAGGCAGCAAGCCTGCTCCCAAAGCCGAGAGAGAGCCCCCCGGCCAGTGGAGTCCCCTCTAAAAATAAGAACGTACAATTATCTTACATGGAAATGAGCTTCTCATTTTGCTTTCTAATAGGCAATTTATATAGTTTTAGTGAGTTAAAGGAAAATAGCTGACATACTCCCCAGGAGAGCACCTGCAGCGCTATGCGGAATGCGGGACGTGGGCAGGCAGGGTCAGGCCCCCCAGCCCTCAGGCCTGTGCTGGAGGACGCACACTCGCGCCCACCCGGATCGCTTACTCTCGTAGCGGATGAGGAAGCCCACACTGGCGCGGCTGCTGTCGGTGCTGAAGAGCAGGTACATGTAGTTGCCGGTGCTGATGAGGAACTGCGGCGCCTGCGTGCCGTGATATTCTCCGATCAAGGGCGACGAGCTGGCAGGGCCGTCCCTGACCTCCAAGGTGTCATAGTTGACTTCTGTCTGAAACCTGTGGAGGCATCACGTCAGAGGAGACCCCTCCCGAGCCCAGAGACCGCTCTCCCCCGTGCCCCATGGAGCTTCAACCCCGCGATGTCCAGGGGACAGAATCCTCAGTGTCACACCCCGTGTGCACCTCGGGGACCTGTGTCACAGGAGGATAGCACTGTTTTTGGTTTTTTATTTTTATTCTGGAATGAACAGAGAATTGCAAATCTGTCCAGTTTACCCAATCTGACAGCATTGGAGGTCTTTACAAACAAAGATCTCTACTCAGGTCTGAAACAAAAACCACTATGAACATGATTAGTTTTCTCAGGCAGATAATTAGTATCTGCCTAGTTAATAACCCTCAATTAGTGAAAAGTCAATGAGTATGCACTTGCAAGGTACTTTTTCACAAACTCCTCTTTAACACAGTTACTGGTGCCTTGAGAGAGACATACTGAAGGCAAGTGATTAAAGAAAAAGTGACAAAGTACACAGTGATGTTTATGCATCTGTCCTGGAAATATCTGCACCTTTTAAAGTTGCACCAACCTTTCAAGGCAGGAGAATAACCCCAAGCAAATTGCCACTTCGGATGCGAGGGAACGATCGGAAACTTCATTACCAGTTTCCCACAAGTGCTTACCGTCCCTTGTGCTTCCAGAGTCTGGCCCGCGATTATATTTACATAAAGATGCAGCCTCTCTGGGCCTCGTCAGCGCAATGACGGAGCCGTCTGAGGCACCGAGACAATTTCCTAAATGGCCCGCTCATCCTGCGAGGGCCAACCTGGCTTCTTGGCATCTGCTTTCGCTCTCTGGGAGCAGCTGAGGCTCTTAGGCCTCTGACTCACTGGGTAGTGCTGTGCCGAAGCCTTCCAAAGCCTGAGTCCTGCCCCCCACGCCATGCCCTGAGTCCTGCCCCCCACGCCACGCCCTGAGCCCTGCCCCCCACGCCACGCCCTGAGTCCTGCCCCACGCCACGCCCTGAGTCCTGCCCCACGCCACGCCCTGAGTCCTGCCCCCACGCCACGCCCTGAGCCCTGCCCCCACGCCACGCCCTGAGTCCTGCCCCACGCCACGCCCTGAGTCCTGCCCCCACGCCACGCCCTGAGCCCTGCCCCCCACGCCACGCCCCGAGTCCTGCTGACTGAGGGATGCTGAGCTGGGCCCAGGAAGCTGTCGGCTCTCATGGCACCAGAGGCAGCCGGTGCGAAGCCCGAGGTGCTGCCGGCTGCGTGAGCTGGGGGTGCTCCTCACAGCCCCCCATGCAGCCACGGGCTCCGACACCAA